TTCTTAAACCAGTAGTTCTCAGCCTGTGGGTCTCCAGATGTTTTGGCCTTCAACTCCCAGAAATCCTAACAGTTGGTAAACTAGCTTGGGTTTCTGGGAGTTGTAGACTAAAACACCAGGGGACCCACAAGTTGAGAAACACTGTTTTAACCTGTCACTGTCCTGACCCCAAATGCTAGCTCTACGTTGGCATTGCAAAAAAATTGTAAAAGTAAAAGATTTCTGAATGCCAGCCAATTGCTGTTTTTGACATTTACCTGAATCTGTTGTGAGGTGTGTTTATAGTAGTCTCAGTAGAACATGATTCAGCTGTACTTCATAAAAAGGAAAAGGAAAATCAGCCTGTTTAGTAAGCTTTATTATAAGTAAATGTTCAATTTTTTATACATATTTTATGTACTATGTCCCCGGGGTCAAGCAAATAAATTCTCGGGCCAAAAGTGGTCTGGAGTGGAAAGGTTTAAGAAGCCCTGCCATAGATAAATACTGAATGCTATATACTGACTATACTTGGATGGAAGCAGGAGATAGAGCTCCACTGGGGTACCTAGAGAAGCTCACAAACTTTGGGTCAGGAGCAGACCATAGAATTGCAGTGGAGGATTTAGGCTCACAAACACTTCGGGAGAAGAGGATTTTTGGGGGGGAGTGTCCCTAAGTGAAATCATGTATATCAAGTCAATTGATAGAAGATTTGATACGGTGCCTTGTAGTAATTACCTCAACTATTTTATGGCCTCAAAAGTATTCTGATAGTATTTACTGATATTACCTGAAGTTTGCCCATTTTTTTCCAGAAATTTCCAAGGAAATTCAGGGTATTTAATGAAAGGACATGCAAGCCGAAATCCGGTATTAGTCCCAACAAGGCAATTCACATGTATTCATTCATTCATTCATTCAATACCTCTGCTGAATCTTTCCACAGCTTTATAGGATACTGAAGTGCTTTTCTGTTCAGAAAAAATTATGCAGACTTTCCCAAAGATCTGTATCCCCACAGAAAGGACATCTCCTTCTTTGTAGTTGTTTGTGTTGAAAGAATAAGCATAAAAACACAGTACACAGAGGGTTTGGGAAATAGTGCCTCAGATATCATATTTTTGTTGCTTGTGAGAAAGCTGCATTTTTGGCTTTAAATTAAAGTATTAAATTTTCAGAAATAAATTATCTTTACCATCAACAAGCCTTTATTGGCTTAAGCATAAGGGAAAATAGCAATAACATTGTATAGACATGCATCTAAGAAATAACTGAAAAGCAATTAAATAAAAACAGACCAAACTCTAAACATGTTGTTCACTTTTTTTATTATTAAATATGAGTTTTCAATCAGGCTTAAGAAACACAACTGAACATTTTAGAGCAATGAGTAAAATGCTGGTTTCAAATGAATATAAGATATTACATACATTTTGTTTCAGAAAAAAAGTTATGCAGTTAACAATTTTGTGCAATTAAATATTAACATGATTTTTTAAATAACTGGTCTTACATTAGTACAATAAGTGACTGTACAAGCACCATAGTGTAAAACTAACAAACTTCAACAATATTTTTTTCTATTTATGTAGCTGGTGCATATCATTTTGGAGTGTCCTATGTAAAAAAAAAAACTCTCTGTAGTGGGTAATAGTGTAATATATCTTGTGAGGCTGAGTTAAAACATCAGTGGGTCAAAACTGCCTATTCAGGACTGAGTATAATTACAATTCAGTATCAAATGCAAATATAGTAAATGTGGCCACCCAGCCCTAGCCAGCAAGAGAGATTCGCCAGTGAGGATAGCCTTCTGTATGTGCAACTGCTGTGGATACAGCTGCAGAACTGAATGCATAATCCAAATTGCAGATCTCATCTGTTTCTTTGTTGAACTGACTGGATGCATCTTGTGCTGCAGATACAACTGTAAATCCCCTCTAGTGCCATTAGCTGTTGCATTGGATAATTGTGCATGATTAGACCTGCTGGGCTAGGGCCAAAGTGCTGCTGTGTTAAGTGGATGATGACCTGGTTTTTAGAGTATGCTGTGTTTGCAAGGAAATGCCTTGGTTAGAATTTACAGACTTCCATGCCAGTATAGTGCCAAGTGATGGCTGTTAAGCTGGTGTTATAGACAGTGAATGCAGCGCAAAAGCTTTGGAATTTAATGCCAGTTTGGTATACAAAATTTCCTATCCAAATACAGCTTCCCTTATCTTTTCTGTGTCATGTTTTTAAGACATTATCCCTGATGCTATAATATTTACTAATATTCAAGGCATTATATTATATCACAGAGATATATTTGTAAGAGAAAAGGCTTTTCGAAAGGACCTGAATATGTATATTTCCAGTACTGGAGCTAATTTTACTTTTAATCTTGCAGTTAGTGTGCAACTTTGTATTAGTTTTATTATTCACATCTCAATTCATTCTTGCAAATTGCCTGATGTGAAAAATATTATCATTCATATCAAATAATTATAATAATTTCTCATCTCATTAGTAAGTGATCATTATAGTTATAATTTGAACATCAATATTTATTAACTTGCCATTACACTTGCCATTGTACTAAAATGGTTCTAGATAAGTTAACCCCTTGATTTCAAAAGGAAAAAAGTAATTGTATGTTTCTGCCATGAGTTTCAGCCTCTTTTTACTAAAAAAGTAATATCCAAAACCAAACAAATATTAATATCCAAAGCCTTTGTTAAACTGCAATCCTAAGGCTGTTTAATTTGCAGTACACGCCAGTGTTATTAATCACATTATACAAGAATAGGATGGCAGCATTAAATCTATAGTATTGCTCCTTTTCTCCATAAGTCAGTGAATTATACCTTTAAGGGCTGATCTTGGCAATGATAATGAACACCTCTGTATTTGAACAGAGAAAATACCTATCTGGTGTTGCAATAAAATTTAGTTAAAATGTGTGAATATTACCTTTTAAAATAGCACCTAAGATATGCACCATGCAACATTTGCCTTAGAAATGTAATTATGTGTTGTGTTCAGTTGCTACTAGATATCTAGTAGTATAAAACTTTGATCTTGATGGGATGTTATATTTGTGCAAATAAGAAACCTGAGAAAGAGGAATGGACATACTCTGAAGAAAAGAGGCCATTTGATTCATTGTCGGGGAGTTGCAGCCAGACTTGATCATTTTCCATTAGATCAACAACAGCACTACCAGAAGCTTGATCAAGGTATCCTTTCTTGTACTCATCAAATGTGTACATGATGGGTGAACCGTTTTTGTATAGGCCAACCCACACATGTGTTCCTTTCACATGAACATGGTAAGCAAAATAGTAAAGTCCGGGTATTCTGCAGGTGAAAATTCCCGACCTGGGGTCATAGTGTTGTTGTCTGTTGTACAGAATCTTGTCAAATTTTATGGGAGCAGCTGATGGAGGGTAAGCTTTTGAAAGAATGACACTGAAAGCTGAGACTGGCATGCCAGTAAGGCCTTGGATTGCACCACCAGCTTTTATAACAGGGACGCCTGCTATGGCCTGACCTTGTGGGATTCCAGGACCCGGGGGACCAGGTGGACCTGGGGGGCCTGGCAGCCCAGGCTGTCCAGGGTGACCCTTGGGACCTGGAAGCCCAGTAGGTCCCATAGGCCCATCCATACCCTTTGAAGCAATGCCAGCTGGACCTGGTAATCCTGGTACACCTGTGTCTCCTTTGCTGCCAGGGATTCCTGGAATACCTGGAGGACCCACTGGTCCTTTTGTACCTGGTATTCCAGGTGACCCTCTGGGCCCGGGTTCACCATCAATTCCATCTGCTCCCTTAGGTCCTGATGCACCCATTGGTCCAGGAAGGCCAGGTGGCCCAGCATGACCAGCATCCCCTTTGGGGCCTGGAAACCCTGGCTGCCCTTTGGGACCAGGAATTCCTGGCTCCCCTGAAAATCCTGGTTTTCCATCTACTCCTGGTAGACCACGCTCTCCTTTAATGCCTGGGAACCCTGCTGCCCCTGCAGGTCCTCTTTCACCCTTTAGGCCAGGTGTGCCATTTTCACCAGGTGCACCTCGGAGCCCTTGGGGGCCTGTATTCCCTGGGGGCCCAGATGGCCCTGCCTCCCCAGGGGCTCCCATAGGACCTTGTTCTCCCTTGCCTCCTGGGATGCCGGGAAGACCTTCAGGCCCTCTGTTTCCCTTCATGCCAGGCAACCCTGGTTTTCCAAATCCTGGGAGACCAGCAGGTCCAGTCAAGCCTGCAGGCCCTGGGAGCCCTTTTGCCCCAGGACTGCCTGGTAAACCCGGTGATCCACTGGGCCCAGGCTTCCCTATTCCTGGTTCTCCGCGTTCCCCTGGAGGTCCTTGGGGCCCTGGGGTGCCAACTGGTCCTGCGCTGCCTGGAAACCCCCGATCCCCTTTAATACCTGGTTGCCCTGGAAATCCCCTTTCTCCTGGCTTCCCTATCCCTGCAAGTCCTGGTGGCCCCGCAGGCCCCTGTGGCCCTGGTGGACCTTTCTCCCCTGGGCGACCTGGAGCCCCATACCCTGTTTCTCCCTTCTGTCCATTTAAACCAGGGATGCCCGGCTCACCTTTTTCTCCAGAGGCACCCCTAAGACCCTGTGGCCCTGGCAGTCCTTGTTTACCAGCAACAGAAATCCCAGCGGGGCCAGGAATTCCAGGGGCCCCTGGGGGACCTCTTGGGCCGGGAAGACCAGCAGGTCCCATGTCTCCCTTTTCACCAGACGGTCCTCTGTCCCCTGGTCTTCCTTGTAAGCCTGGCACGCCTGGCTTTCCAACAGCTGAAAGTCCTGGTGGTCCTGGGGGCCCCTGTGGCCCTGGAGCCCCTTGGCTTCCATATCCTGGTTTTCCTGGAGATCCTGAAGGGCCTGGGAGTCCTCTTGGGCCAGGAGCGCCAGGGGGGCCAGCTGGTCCAGCTGGTCCTTGCTCTCCTCGAGTCTGTACAACTAAAGCAAAATCAAAGTAATTAGTATGATGTAGCAGTTGATAATAGAAGCTATTTAATAATTTTGTAACGATGTTTTTGAAAACAGTGAGCTATGTCATATAATTCAGTTGGAATTGCATTGGAATTCTGTTTGGAATGAGTAAATACATAGTCACCATAGACCTACCACAGAAGCAGCTTGTTTACAAATGTATTGGTTCTGATATTCTGACCGTGAGAAACAAAAGCAAAATAACTGGAGTAGATGGCAAGAAGACTAAATCATCTAGGCTCAATTGGAAATGTTTGTTTTGGCCGTCCTTGATAGCCTTAGGGTTGTCACCTGTTTGTGACTTTTATTCATATTTTGGATCCTTTCTCCGCAATGTGTGGAGCATGTATTATTATTGGAGCTTGTCCAAATTATATTATTAGAAACAAAGGATAACAGTTAATTCCAGGCAAACAGATTACAGTTGGCTCTCCACATTTTTGGATCTGACTATTGTGAATCTGTATTTTGAGAATTTGATGAAAATGTTCTAAGAATCTCATGATCTTCCAGCATGCCTCTATTGTCAGCTTCAGCTGGAGGACTTAGAGAAAATACCTCTCTAGAAATTTCCAGGTCCTCCAGTGCGATTCTGTCTACAGCTTCTGTGGACGTTGACCATAGAGCCATGCTGGAGGAATCATAGAATTATAGAGTTGGAAGAGACCTCCTGGGTCATCCAGTCCAACCCCCTGCCAAGAAGCAGGACAATCGCATTCAAACCCCCCCCGACAGATGGCATCCAGCCTCTTTTTAAAGGCCTCCAAAGAAGGAGCCTCCACCACACTCTGTGGCAGAGAGTTCCACTGCTGAACAGGATGAAGACATTTCTAGAGAGCTATCTCAGGTAAATAAATATGGGTTTTTTTATATACAGTTTTTCACTTTTGCAGGGATCTTTGGTCCCTACCCTCAGCAAATGTGGAGGACTGACTACCCAGTTAATGGCAGATTTTCTGTTGACAGAGTGAAGTCTGTACAATTATATCAGCCACACATTTCTTGAGTTTCTTTTGTGGAAACTGGAGGACTAATTTATATGAAAAAGAAGAGACTCTGTTGTGTTGCCTTGTGCATTTCATTAGCACAAAGGAAGAAAGCACACACCACAGACACCTTGATATCATACTAGTCAGGTAATATGGACGTTTATTCAGAACTAAGTCAGTGGTCAGTAGAGCTTACTGCCATAAATGTCGTCTTTCGATAGCAGCCAAACCTGGAAGTAAGCCCTGCTGAATTTTGTTATTTCCAAACAAACATGGTTATTTTAAATTGAAGTTTATCCCTATATGTTAACTGAATATCTAATTCAACATTTTTTGTTATTGGGAAAACAAATAAAGAAAAGAATTTGAAATCAGTCGATTTTTGGAGTTGTGGTTGGAACATTTTATGTTTAACCACCTACGAATAAATAGATGCAATATGTGTTATAAACCTGCAGATGGAGTCATTCAACCATATGCCAGCCATGGAAAACATGGAAGTATTAGTAAAGAATTGAATTGCTCAGATATCTCTTTTCTTTTCTGAGGGGTAAAAGGTAACGGTTTCCCCTGACATTAAGTGGACTTAATGTCAGGGGAAACCGTTACCTGTACGACTCTGGGGGTTGGTGCTCATCTCCATTTCTAAGCCGAAGAGCCAGCGTTGTCCGTAGACACCTCCATGGTCATGTGGCCAGCATAACTGCATGAAGCACTGTTACCTTCCTGCCGGAGTAGTACCTATTGATCTATTCACATTTTGCATGTTTTCGAACTGCTAGGTTGGCAGAAGCTGGGGCTGATAGTGGAAACTCACCCTGCTCCCCAGATTCAAACCTGCAACCTTTCAGTCAACAAGTTTAGCAGCTCAGTGGTTTAACCCACTGTGCCATGGGGCCTCCTTTCTGGGAGCAGCATACCCCAAAGGCAGCAGATCCTGACTGACCTTGGAAGTTAAACAGGATCAGTCCTAGTTATAACGTGGATGGGAGACCATCAATGAGTACCAGATTCTGTAGTAGGCTAGATTTCAAAGGAAGGAATTGGTAAAACTTCACCTGAGTATTCCTTCCTATGTAAATTCTATGAAATTCATGGGGTTGCCTTAAGTCAACAGGCGATCTGAAGGCACATACATGTACAGAAAGTTTTAGAGCCTTAAATTAACATTTGAACACTTACCTTATTTTTACCTATAAAATTTTACCTATGACAGAAGTAGAAAATAATACATGTGTATAGAAGAGAACAGCCTCACAATTTCATACATGCGTCACAAATTAGCAGAGCCATTCATATCAAAAGCTTCTGAAAGTTTTGATCATTAAGGCTTCAGGAAGGACAATTGAAACCATTGTGTGCCATTAATATAATGGGTCTCTTTTCATAATACATGTTGATACCTTGGGCCCATCTATACAGCCAAATAAAATCCAGATTTTCTGCTTTGAACTGGATCATATGAGTCTATACTACCATATATTTCAGTTCAAAGCAGATAATCTGGATTTTGTATGGCAGTGTAGATTGGGCCCTAGTTGCTCTGTTTTGTTCCTCTGAATTTGCCTTGTGCCTACTCAGTTTCTATATACTTAGTTTCTCTACAGAGATATGAGTTCCGCCAGATTTGGGCTTTTGAACCTCAAAGATAATTCAGAGTTAAACATGTAACAATTTTGTTTCCTTCAAAATGCAAACTAAATACTGACCTTTAATGAAACTCAGACTGGTATTGGTTTGTATACTTTTCAATATCTAAGTTAGTGTCAACATGAGCTGAAGGCAAATAACAACAACAATAAATCTCCCTTCTGAAGAACACACTTAATTCCCTGAATATGTAAATAATGTGCTGGGTGGGAGGAAGGAGGCCGACTCAGAATTTCCCCCCCAACAACAAGAAAATGTATTCAATTTTAACAATGTATTATTTTATTTTACTTATTTTACTAAGAGGAAAAACATGTCGTTTTAACAATGATGGTATTCTTTGTTTAGTTTATTCCAAATGTGTTCAAATTGGACTCTTGAGACCATCATTCAAATCTGACACCAAATTAACCGCCGGGGTCTAATGTTACGGAATTCTTGGATTTTTAGTTTTGTGAGATCCTTACGCTTTACTGTCAGAGAACTCTAGTAGCATAAGAAACTACAAATTACAGGATATTAAAAAGCAGGAATCAAGCAGCTGTAATACTGCAGTATGGATGGTCTACCTATTATAGTTTCACCTTAGGATCACCATAATTCAGAAATGACTTAAAGCCGTATATTAAGAATAATAACCCAAACCCATTTAATAATAGATATGTTTCCTTGAACTTAGTGAAGTTTATTTTTGAGTAAACATGGTTAAGATGGCTGTGATTCTTCATTTCTTCATACCAGCTAATGATATTAACTTATCTTTATCTCCATGGAGCCTTTCAAAAACAAACAATGCATCCCTTTGACCATTCCTATTAAGTCAGGGTGATCATTCTGAGCTGGGGATGCATGTATGTATGTATATGTATATATATATGTGTGTGTGTGTGTGTGTGTGTGTAGATGCAGACTTTTCTGATTGTTAAAATTGTCATAAACACAGACTTGGTCATTCTTTAAAGAGAAAAGCTAGAGAAGTTACTTAAGATGCTTGACAAAGTAGCCTTTTTATACTGCAACTCCCAGAATTCCCAAGCCAAAATGTCACTTTTCTGTATTTCAAGCCGTATTCACTTTCCTAAATTAGGCTGAGGAGATTGAGTTGTCAAACTACAGCAGAGGCAGAAAGAATGAAGATACTTTTTTTGTTGTTGTGGCGAGTAGGGAGAAAGGAATCCTGCAAACAGTTCTCTCTTCAGCCAAGTGCGTATAGGATGTGCCATTAGGGTAAATTATGTGTTTGATCCTCGCTGCTTGCCTGTAGCAGGGAGTTCTTCATGGTCAAGCCAGTCAATAACAGAACCTGAACACATCCGGAAATTTAGATTGCCTAGGCCTGCACCCAAGTCTCTGAAATGCTCTCCTCCCAAAGATTTCAATCAGTATTTTTTAAATGAAATAAATGAGCTTTGTTCGCTAGAATATACATATGGCTTTAAAAATAGTCTGCACTAAAAGCCGGACTGCACAACATGCTCAGTGTAATGGAAAAGCAACCCAAACATTCTGCAGGCGACCTGTCTGGACAGCTGGCACTTTTAAAAAGCTTGGAGGCATTTGCCTTGTGGCCAGGCTGAGAGCGAAGAAGTCAGTGCTAGCTCTCATTATCTTTTGAGCTTATTTCCTCCAGCAGTTGAGAAATGGGGCACAGGGGATTTTGCTGAATAAGATAATGAGCAAAAAAAGCCTGTGGCTCAGCAAGCTCAGCTTCTTTTTTCAGAGTGATGTTGGTGAGCACCTCACATTTTTGCTTGGGTGTTTTTGTCCATAGAGCACTTTTAGTATTCTCAAGTCAGAGCCTATTGCCTTTTGCATGTGTGGGATGAGTGTTACTCATCAGTTATGAAAAGGTCAAAAGACCAACCTGCCAGTATGTAATTCAGCTTGGCTCAATTCTCACTACTTTAGAGGTGGGGAAGATGTACCTCTCCGGGTGTTGTTGGACTGTAGTATTCGTTATCCTTATCCAGCATAACTAGTGGTCAAGGATGATGAGAGCTGCAGCTTAATGACTCCCAGAAAATCCTATGTCTAAGCCATATTTAATGATCACAGCGGCCTTTGCCAGATATAGGTATGACTTAACTATTTATCTTGAACTAGCTGTCCCCTGCCACGCGTTGCTGTGGCTCAGTCTGTGTATATGTATTTTGTGTGGCTATATGTGTGTGTATATATTTGTGTATATGTGTATGCATATATGTGTGTGTGTGGTTTTGTGCATGCATTGTATTTTTTGGGGGGGTTTTTTTTGGCTTTTTAAGTCTCTTCTGTGTTTTACAGTGTTTTTATGAGTGATGGTCACTTGTTTTGCTTTTAGGTGTATTGTGTCCAAATTTGGTTTCAATTCATCCAGTGGTTTTTGAGTTATGTTAATCCCACAAATGAACATTACATTTTTATTTATATAGATAAAGGGATTAGAGGAGCAAAAGCAGACTTTTTTTCATTTCTAATCTAATCAATCTGAAATGACCAAAACTAATTTTCTTGATTTTCTTAGCTGTACAGCTGGGAACTATCAGATCAGGATTATTGTCTCAGGAGCCTAGGGAACAATTTCTGTATATCAGTGACAGTGCTGCATGCCACTTATGGTCTTCAGATAGTAACATGTCAAATTCTCAGTTTTAAATAAGCACATCCTTTAAACTTAAATTAGACTGCATGTGTCTTTTTAAAAAGAAAAATAAGTTTAAGTAAATATTAGTGTCACTCATTTTGATGGGATGTGTTACTAGGTAAGGGGCACTTTAAGTATTTCAACTAGGCTCTTGTACTGCCTCAGCAGCATGGAAGCAACAGCAGTATTAAAAGTTTCTGTCTGTGCCATGGAAACATAGAGCTGGAGTTAGGTAATATAATCCAGGCCCCTTTCTGCTGAAAAAAATCAAGAGCTCCAGAAGATGTTTTTAAAATATTCAGGTGAAATGTATAGTCTAACAACCTGAGCTCGTTCCATCTAGTTCTTCTATCTGGTGTAATTGAGGATAAGATCTTTGCCCTGTTTTTTACCACTCTGCATAGATATTTTCCCTGTGATTCTGTGTTTTCAGTGGCACACCGGTAGCATGGAATAGTAGTGTCCCAGTAGTTCCAGAGCACCGAGTTATTTGAATTTCATGTCAATGTTTCTGGCCCTGGGATTATGGCTCTAAGCATGCCTCACACTCAGACAATAGCATTTGTACAGCATTTCCTTAAAATAGCAATTAATTCTAAAATGCCGATAAGGCAACATGCCAAATAGCTGGATATCTTGACAGTGCCCAAGTTATGACCAAGATAGGTTGTGTAGGTTTGTGCTTAAGTTGAATCTGTATGTACATTGTCCAGCCAAATCTATCTGTCTGTCTGTCTGTCTATCTTTGCATAGCATAGGGAAGGCTTGGCAGCCCTGTGGTGCTTGTTTTGCTATCTGTTACCCTGTTCAGAAGATTTCACCTCACTTTCTGTTCCTGCGATCATTGGTTTTTTAAAATAGTTACTTGTTGTGGGCAAAGGATTGATGATAAAACTTGTTGAGACCTCTTTTCCCCACTATAACTCTTTCAGGAGTGAATTGCCCTTCCTAGGGTGAGATTTCTCTCATTTCCTGTTGTCTCACCCCTGTTCTTAACTATAACTCATTTATTAGTCAGATGTTGGTAACTCAGGGACTGCCTGTATATAGCTTTATTCATTTACCAGCATTTGTCTATATACTAGATTCCTGTAATGCCATTTTTACTTCTATTTTTACTCTTGAATGTCACTACGTCGCATTAGATCCTCTGTGCTTCCTTATAGCACTTCTAAAAGTACATGCATCTACCCTTCAGTAGTGAATGTGTATTGCCCAGGAACAAAAGCTTATTTCCATATCATGGTGAATCCATACAGAATGTCCAAAGTAGTGCACCTATTCTAAGGGAAAGGGTTAAACTCCTTAAACAATAATTTTTAACTTCAGAGTAAAACCAAAAGTATATTTATCATCTTATATTAAAGCCATGAGCTGCTGTTATATATTGCAGTATAACTATTGTAATAAACTATATAAACATTTGGGAACTAATTTAATGAGATTCACGAAAATAATATTTTAGACATTGTGTGCTGCACCTCTCACAATTGCACTTCTTAGACTATTTCAGTCTAGGTCTTCCCTAATAGTGAGGACAATAGCTACCTGAAACTTGCAATACTGTGTATATATTCACTAAATCGTTTGAAAATACAGTTGCTCTTCCTCATTTGCTAGTTAAGCATTCATGGATTTGGTTAGCCACAGCTTACTGTATTTTCCACTATCTCCACTGCTGCTTTATACACAAATGAAAAATATGTTCTCTCGGGGTATTTGTAGGGCTTCTAGTGCAATTCTATGTAGAAGCTGACCATAGAATCATTCTAGAGTACCAGCAAATACTTAAGAGTATAGAGCAGCTCTTAGTAAAGTAAAGTGTTCCATCAGGTGAAAAAGAATATCAGACCTATATCCACATTTTTCCACCTTTTTGGGGGTCCTGTGTTCCTAACCCCTGCAGATGTGAAGGGTCGAATGTGTGAATTCCAGCACCATCAAACCCTTCTAGACCATTTTCTTTGTTTGTTTGTTATAGCACACTAGAGTACCACTGTTAAAGTTGCAAATCGGAACTCTTCCAGCAAGAGGAATCATTAAAATTTTACATCTTACTCTCATTGAAGATATCTGTTATTGAAAGGCAATTTAGAAATTTCAGCATTATTTTTGCATAGGGATTTGGAATCAAAACATTTTACATTTTTGCTCTAACATATCAAAAAATTACTGTGCTATAATATTCATTTCTTCTAACATTAGGTCTTAAATATTCAGGAGCCTAGGTCTTAACAAAATTATTTCCTTTTTATTTTTGTGCAGAATCCTCCTCTAAAGCAGTTACATGTGGTTCTGCCTATCCTGTGCATTCTTTATGCTAAAGAAGCTATACTTCAGTGGTTCTGAACCTGTGGGTCCTCAGATGTTTTGGCATAAAACTCACAGAAATCCCAGCCAGTTTACCAGCTGTTAGGATTTCTGGGAGTTGACGGCCAAAACATCTGGGGACCCATAGGTTGAGAATCACTGCTGCACTTCCTTTCGGAAGTAGTAAACAAGTTCTGGTCCCCTTTCAGCTTTTGTTTCTTCTTTAACATCAAGATTGTCTTGCCTTAAAAAAAACATTAAAATCCCCCCCCCCAAATACTATTTTTCCCAAAATATGAACATTATGCATTTCTAGAACATCTGTTAAGCTTTAAAGGCATCTATCCTGACATGTGTTATCTCTACAGTAAAATAAATTCAGTTAAGTTGTAACAACAAAAATCTAAAGTAGTTCTGCATTAAAATCTCAACTCAGATTGTCTAGAGCAGGCCTGTATAACCTGTGGCCCTCCAGGTGTTTTGGACTTTGGTTCACAGATACCTGACCATGAGACAAGCTGGCTAGGGCTTCTGAGAGTTGGGATCCCAAATGCAGCCATCTCCACTGGGCTCCTGTTGGTCACTTGTGAAAGTAAAGCTACTCTCCTGTGAAGAGGAATCGGGCAGTAGTCCAATTTATTTGGGATGAACCACTTCAAAATGCAGGTGGGATGTGCTTCGTTTAAATGTTTTCAAAACAAATGTCATTTCCTGTAAAATGTCATCATAACTAGGAAGTTCCCCCAACATTCTTTTTCTCTGTCCTGAGCAGGAACTTTCTTAAACAGAGTATTCTAGTGGCATAGGAGCCAGCATGGTGTAATAGTCTGAGCTTTGGGTTATACCTCTGGAAAAGGGGTTCAAATTCCAGCTCAGCCATAGAAATCTACTGGGTGACCTTTAGCATGTCACAGTCTTCTAGCCTTAGAAGACATCAAAGGCAAACCACTCTGAACAAATCTTGCCAATTAAATTTTATTATAGTTTTACTTTAGTTTGATTTAAGTCTGAAACAACTTAAAGGCACACAATTGTAAACAAATTATAGCATCATATGTTTACTTCATACAATCCCAGTAGTGCTCTACTACGTGTGTCTTCTAGAGTATAGAGCATCTCTTGGTAAAGTAAAGGTTTCCCCTAGTCATGTCTAGTTGTTTCCGATTCTGGGTGGTGATAATCATTTCCATTTCTAATCTGAAGAGCTGGTATTGTCCATAGACACCTCCAAGGTCATGTGGCCAGCATGACTGCATGGAGCGCTGTTACTTTCCCGCAGAAGTGGTACCTATCGATCTACTCACATTTGCATGTTTTCGAACTGCTAGGTTGGCAGAAGCTGGGGCTAACAGCAGGACCTCACCTGCTCCCCGGATTCAAACCACCAACCTTTTGGGCAGCAAGTTCAGCAGCTCAGCTGTTTAACCCACTGAGCCACTAGGGGGCCAGGGCATATCTTAGTTTTGTTAAAAATGAGCTTCACAGTTTCCATACTATTAGTTTTCTCTGGACAATTACTACATCAATGATCATTTTGATAACTATCTTTTTGGGGGGGGAAAACTATCTTCTAAAAAAAAATCTATGTTCTACTAATGCACAAAACTTAATTTTTGTATCTCCAAACAACAGTTTGATGGTACTAGATAACCTGGCTTAACATGGTAACGTAATTGCAGCAGAACTATCGGCTGTCCATAGTTTTAAAAAAGAAATCTTACTTACCATGACTTTTCATGTTGAAAGGTAGGAATGCTGGCCCTTTCATTGGCACGCCTGGGTGTTTCTGATATCGTTCCTGATATCGTTCAGGATAAAAGCCTTCACCGCCCCGAACAATGTTCATAAAAAGCAGCACCAGCAGGAAGGATATTTGTGACTTCATATTCAGAAATCCCCACTGTGTTGAAGGGAAAAAATATTTGTTTGTGTACTGGAGTGTTGAGTTTGGATGTTTTTCCCTACCTCAGAAAATAGCAGTATTATCCATAGTCTTCTGCTTCAGTACTTTTCCACTTTCATAAATGCAGTAAAGCATATGTTTTAAATTCTCAGATTTTTAGAAAACTGCAGACAGAAGTCATTGCAGATATCAGAAATGTAGTCACATTTTCTAACATGGACTCTTCTTTGTGTGGCAGTCTGCAAACATGTTTAGAAATAAAAGAGGGAGATTGCAAACCCAAGTAAATGCCTCAATATTTTGTACATAATAACATTTCCAAAAGAAGGATCTTAGTCCAAAGATTTCAAAAGCCGTAGCCTTTAGAAACCTATGCATAAGCAACCAGCCTTTTATAGTTACTGTAGCCAGACTACTCTCAAATGCCTCGAATGCACCTGAAAACTACTGCCCCACTTAAATGTATTTGGAAGCCAAACCAGAAAGAATTGCAGCATACCGGCATATTGTAGGGTTACAGGTGTCTAGTAGAGCTGACTTCAGCCTTGGCTCAAGTGCCTTCTGCCACAGGTGTGCAGAGCAGAAGAAGCTGCCCTTCCAAGGATCATCCTGAGGTATTTATACTGTTTGTGCCTTCTGACACGAGGTTGCCCTGGGATGTAGCACCGCCTCCAAACCAAGAAAATGCTAATTATGGTGGAAAGTTTTCTTGGCAAGATATTTTGTGTCAGGTGGGACTTTTGTTATTTTAGGTGTCCTTCTTAATTCATTTATATACTTTCATTATACTGGAACTAAGACAGGTTAATTTGTCATGAAAATAGACAAATGTAACATTTATTTATTTGTTATTTACTTCATTTCTACTTCGCCTTTCTTGACCCCGAAGGGGACTCAAGGCGGCTTACAAATCCGGCAAAAATTCAGTGCCACACAGGTAAACAAGAAAACACATCTTATCAAAATATAAAACAATCTAAACATATAAACAATTAAAACAAGTATCAATCAATCAGATTAAAAACCATATTAAATGCCGAGTCATGATCTCATATCCATAATCGTTTTCTAAAATCCATAGTCCATTATTCAAGCTGTATGCTTTACCTTATTATTTTGAATAGGCAATTGTATTAAGTAATAGCTGATAAGCCTTTACCTGTATAATAAGTGCAGAATGCATGTTCTTCACATGTATATATTTTGCTGTACTAATTAAGGAAATGCTTCCCATATTTGTGATTTCTTTCTCTGATTCTATCTTCTACTGTTAAAAAACCATTTTTAGGAATTTATTCCATGTCCTTTGATATCTTTGCCTTCATGTGTCTACTCTTATCAATTTTTAGTTGCAAAACTATTTTGTGTGTGGAACCTTCTTCATCACGGTTGTATGAGAGAATTAATGAATATGTGCAACTATACCTCGCAATGTTAAATCAGTATCTCAATAATAATTGAACTCTGTTGCATCATGGAATGTATTATCTCATTTTTAAAAAAATACATTTACAATTTTTTATTGTAAATGTGCATGAAGTTTTTGACATGTACATTAACGTGCCTATTTGACAAAGGATGCATCTATTATTATTATTATTATTATTATTATTATTATTATTCCACTTTCCTCTCCTAAAGGATACTCAAAGTGGCATCTACACTGTAGAATTCATGCAGCTTGGCACCAGTGTAACTATCATGGCTCAATGCTATGAAATCCTGGGAGGTGTAATTTTACAAGGTCTTTAGTCAGTTCTGCAAAAAAGGATTTGATTGAATTGAGTCATGGCAGTTGAAGTGGTATAAAATGGCATTAATTTTATGGTGTAGATGCATTCCTAATTTCTGGTCTTGGATAAATTATAATAATAGCATTCCTTCTTTCAGTATGCACACAAATCTGCAGTATTTAACTTCAAGTTGCTGTAGATGGTTGTGTATACATTAGTTGTCTGATTATGAGCACCTTGACACCTTTTGTAACAAAGATTTAGGCTCCTTCACACTGCCCTATATCCCAGGATCTGATCCCAGAGTATCTTCTTATTCCAGATTACCTGGCAGTGTAGATCCATATAATCCAGTTTAAAGCAGATAATCTGGCATCAGATCCTGAGATATAGGGCAGTGTGGAAGGGGCCTTAGTTCCCCTTAAAGTATTAAGATTGTTCTTGTCTATAACACCAGAAATGCAAATATATCAGTTCTATTGAGGGCAGTCTAATATGTATATGGTAAGAGGCACATGATATCCTCAACTTGCACTGTTTCTTAGGGCAACTAGCATGCATACATGGGGTATGATATCTCTGTGGACTCCAGTTGGGATCTCAACAAAAGATCCCCATTATGTTACTGATCACAATAATTGAGGCTTCTTACGTTGGGGTCTATGTACACATTAATCTCAAGTACAAATATATCCGGTTGATGCCTGTTACATGTTTCAAAGGGTCAAGTCTTGTTCCAACAATCACTGTCTATCATTAACAATCACTAATTAACTATTAATGACAATCATTAATACATTAGTTGGTCTTGGTGTAACTGAGCTATAGCATAACATCTGTAGCTTGATCACAGCAAGGACAACAAAGTGTATTACATCCTGTAATGTGCTTCCCAGTAATTGGGTACTTTCAGATACTTTAGAGAATGTTTCTTCCTCATCAGGGCTGAAGGAAGATTCTTTTTTATAAATGAAAAGGGGGGGAAATCCCATTTTATTCTTTGCCTCAGACAACAAAATTAGTCTATGGCTGTATAGCCAAGTTATTGTCATCTACTTCCCAGAAGCTGAAGGGCTTGGCACTAAATCAAATAGACAATGTACTGGTATTGTAATTCTGGATATTTTTGGATATTTATTTATTTATTTATTTATTTATTTATTTATTTGATTTAGGAAATTTCTGTGCCGCTTTTCTTCAAGCAGACCCAAAGCGGCTTATATCAACATCGCAACATAAACCATCTGCCAAAAACAAATAATAAATTTCCGAGCATGCTCCACAGCATAATTCATGGTATAAACAATAAAGTTGAAATCAGTTAAAATTCCCTATACAACCATAAAGTGCTAGGATTCGAATAAAGGCTATTTCAAATAGGAAGGTCTTTTTCTAAATGACATTCTTCCAGCAGTGTGCTCCAAAGCTGTGTGGCCGCCCCTGAAAAAAATTCTCTACTGGATTTTAGATGCAAGTTGGCCCTAGATTGTGTTGAAATGAGTGTCTCCTTGCTGGACCTTAAAGGTCTTCCCTGTCTGTATCATTGGACATGGTATCTCTAGTAACCTGGACCAAAGCCATCCAGGGCTTTATAGGTTAAAACCAGCACCTTGAATTGGGCCTGGAAAAAAATGGAAACCAGTGGAGCTGTTTCAGCAGAGGGGTGATGTGCTGCCTGGAATCGACTCCGGTGATTAATCTGGCTGCTGTTCTCTGAACCAGTTGAAGTTTCCTGGCACTTTTCAAGGACGGTTCCACATAGAGTGCATTAGAGTAGTCCAGATGGGATATAACCAGTGTATTAACCACTGTGGCTAGGTCAGATTTCTCCAGGAACAGGTGCAGCTGGCACACAAGTTTTAATTCTGCAGAGGCGATCCTGGTCACTACTGCTACCTGAGCTTCCAGGTTTAAGGTGGAATCTAGAATCAACTTGGGATTTCAGGAGGAGTGTAACCCCATCGAACTCAAGTTGTAACCCTATTCCTGGTTTGCTCTTACATGAGGCCAGCAGTACCTCCATCTTATCTGGATGGAATTTCAGTTTGTTTACCCTCATCCAGTCCATTACCGACCTGAAGCAATGGTTCAGGTGCAGGACTGCTTCCTTGGAAAGAATAGAATTGAGCATCAGATATTACTGAAATCCAAAACTCCGGATGATCTCTCCCAGCAGATTTATGTAGATGTTAAATAACATCGGGGATAAAGATGAGCCCCGTGAGACTCCACAGTCCAAAAGCCATGGGGCCAAGCAGAACTCCCCCAACACCAACACCTGGATGCGGCCTGGAAGAATGACTAGAACCACTGCAACACATCACCTCCTAGTCCCATTGCCACTAGTTTCTCCAGAAGGGTATAGTGGTTAGTGGTATCGAAAGCTGCTGGGAAATCTAGGAGGATCAGCAGAGTCACACTCCCTGTCCAGCTTTCCCCGTAGATCAGTGATTCCCAACCTTTGGGTCTCCAGGTCTTTTGGACTTCAGCTCCCACAGTTCCTAACAGCTGGTAAGCTGGCTGGGATTTCTGGGAGTTGATGTCCAAAACACCTGGCCCAAAGGTTGGGAACCACTGCCGTAGATCATCCACCAAGGCAACCAAAGCAGTTTCTGTCTCATGACCTGGCCTAAAGCTGGATTGAAATGGATTTTTATTCAGTAGTTTCCGAAATATTTCTTGCAGCAAAAAATAAAATAAAATCAATGAACTCTGTGTGGTCAAACATATGTTTGGCTAACAAGAAAATACACAAAACAGTTACTCCTTACCTTGGAATGGATCTTGGTGTCTATTGTAGGCTTGCATATGAATTGTGAGGTTTTTTGTATACCTTCACTGCTATTTGTAGTCATTTCTTGCTCTAAAAATGCACCTGTTTTTCTTGTTTGACTATCTGACCAAAAGCACATGCATATTTGAATATCTGACCAAAATCAAATATTTTAAAATAAATCTGTACCTTATTGGAGCCAGAGTTAGTAACAGGGGCGTGGCTCTACTGTTAAGTCCTCCTTCAATTTATAACTGTGACTCTGTTGTCAAGGCTAGCATTAAACTAGGCAGGGCTTTGAGGAGCAAGCACTTGTAGGTGTATAAATAAGTCTTTGAGTAGAGGGGGATTCTCAATAATAAATGCAGTCCAGTCTATAATCTTCACAAAGTCAGTAAATAAAGAACAAATAGCTTCATCTGACTGATATAAATATGTAGAACTCTGTATTAGAGGACAACATAAATGCATTTTAGAGTTATAAT